CCCACCCCTCACCGTGTATAAAACCACCACATGTGCTAACGCTTGCATCATTCCAAATATAACCCCCCCCCCCCAATATAAGCCCATCCGAATATAAGTCCTCCGAATATAATATATTATGCGACACTGTATGTGTGGTATTAATTTATGTGTGTGGTATTACAGTATGTCCATGGATATTATGCAAAACTCTATGTGTGGTATTTATTTATGTGTGTGGTATTACAGCATGCACATGGATATTATGCGACACTGCATGTGTGGTATTAATTTATTTATGTGGTATTACAGTATGTCCATGGTTATTAAGAGACACTGTATGTGTGGTATTAATTTATGTGTGTGGTATTACAGTATATGCACATTGTATTGGGAGAAACTGTATGTGTGGTATTAATTTATGTGTGGTATTAATTTATGTGTGGCATTAATTTATGTGTGTTGTAATACAGTATGTCCATGGATATTATGCGACATTGTATGTGTGGTGTTAATTTATTTGTGCGAGGTATTACAGTATGCACATGGATATTATGAGACACTGTATGTGTGGTATTAATTTATGTGTGTGGTATTACAGTATGTCCATGGATATTATGAGACACTGTATGTGTGGTATTAATTTATGTGTGTGGTATTACAGTATGTCCATGGATATTATGAGACACTGTATGCGTGGTATTAATTTATGTGTGTGATATTACAGTATGTCCATGGATATTATGATACAGTGTATGCGTGGTATTAATTTATGTGTGTGGTATTACAGTATGTCCATGGATATTATGAGACACTGTATGTGTGGTATTAATTTATGTGTGTGGTATTACAGTATATGCATGGATATTATGAGACACTGTATGTGTGATATTACAGGGTTTTTCCAGGATTTTCTCTTGGGTCCGTTTTTGCAGAGAAGATTGAGTTTAGCACTTTAACTGCACAGCTGGGGTGGCTGCACCCCCCCCCCCCAGCACCAGGGGGCTGACACTTGTACTCAATAAATGTAGTTGAGATGGAATGTGTTAAAGCAGGGGCACTAAGGGACACTATAAACTGGTTAAAGATGGCGAATGCATAGTTCTTCTTGTGTTGCGAGATCAATTCCAACCATTTTTTCTTAATTGTAGAGTTTCAAACTGAAAACTAATTTCCACACGTCACAACTTTAACTCAAACAACTTCATTTTTACTGCACTGAAACTTTGGTGAGAAGATTGAGTTTCAAAACTCAATTCAAGATTGAGTTTTTGGGCGTTTAACGGCCCTAAAAAATCCCTGAAAAAAACCCTGGTATTACAATATGTCCATGTATGGATATTATGGAACACTATGTGCGGTACTATGATAGATAATTTAATATGATTTTACATATATACATATAGACCCGACCACAACCAACACAGCTACCATACCAAAAATGTTTAGACTACTAATTGAACCATTCATGGTATCAGACTCTTGCAAGGGAGACAAAATGTATCGAAACATTGTTATTACTTAATTACAACTGAAAAGGATACCTTAAGAATATAGAGAAAACAATCGACTGAATACCCTTCATCAGTAACTTTTTCAATTCTGCTGCTTGTTACATTCCCCAAATAACTCCTTATAAATATATACAAAGGGGATCCAAAGTTACTGAATTTCACAACAGCAGCTAATGTGTGTGGTATTACAGTATGTCCATGGGTATTATGCGACACTGTAAGTGTGGTATTACAGTATGTCTGTGGATATTATGCGACACTGTATGTGTGGTATTATGTGTGTGGTATAATTTTTTCCCTCAATGATGGCCTGTAGCAACAAACAATGGAAGTACAACAGTTCATCATTTTAAAGATTTGAATTGACTAAAACAAAAGAAAACCAAGTCTATACTGTGTTTGGACTTCATTCCTTTTCGCCCAACAACCCTCACTTATACAATAAGCAATAGCCTCGACTTGAAAATGCATTAAAAAAGTCAATGTGATATGAAAGAGGTAACAAGGCCTTGACCAGAAGATTAATTTCGGTTCACTCATTTATAACAATGGATAAAATGCTTTTTGCAGTGTGACACAACTTTAAAGTGGTAGCTAGGCGAAATTATTGTAGAAAATTAACCTTAACTCCACAGGAACGTTTGAGAGGAATGTAACAGTGCAAGGCTTAACTGGTTGCAATGCGCTATGTCATATTCAATTCAATGATCTACTCTTAGTACTAGTCATTTGTTGAGAAATTCAGCATTTCATTAAATCATGTGAAATGATTTCTCAGAATAAGTCAATAAAGTTTATTACTTGGTATAAGTTTAGCATTTGTGAAAGGAAAGTGGCTGAAATTCGCTTTAAAATGCAAAATTTGCAATGAATAGCCGCACATTTTTTACGAACAATCGTGTTGGATCATAACGGCAATGAAAACCTCAAACGCTTTTAAGTATAGACATTTAGTAGGCTGAGGCACTTATACTTGAGGCATTTTAATAATAAATATTTACACCAAAAAATTAATCTGGTTTTGTTTCAACAAAATAAGTAGTAAATTAATCTTTATTGAAGTTTTGTATTTCATTAAAATAAAAAACAAGTCAAAATTTTTGCAACAAAACACTTTTTGTTTTTAGTTATTTTTCCAAGGTGCCTCAGCCTTTTAGTTCAACCAAGTTACTTTTGCATTTAAACTAAAAAAGGTTTGGTACCTTGTAGTCATCAATAAATTCCTTTTAATTTGGTTTGTCGGCACCAGAACTATTTAATTTGGATTGTTGCACCCAGAATGATCCTGCCCACTTGATGATACCAATCTTTTGCCTGTAGTTAAAATTTATGATGGTTAAAAATAATGTTGGTTAATTATTCCAACACTTCTATGGCAGTTTGTTCAAAGGTAAGTTACTCTCTATTCAAATGTAATGCTGGTGTGAGGAAGCCAGACAATTGTCGACACAACCTGTCTTTGGTGGGGTTACACCTAGCTGAAAAATATAATAAGATTTTCAATGTTTCAAGCATTCCTAGCCAAGTAACGCCAGACAAGAGGATTTGCTTGAAATGTTGAAATTCTCGATCCTTATATTTTTCAGGTAGTTGCATCCCTACCAACGAAAACTTGTTTATGTTATTGCACTATCTACATTGACACAGACAGTTCAAGACTATATGTGCCGAACATTATTTTACTCTCACTGTCTAATGCCAAATTATTTTAGTCGTCAGGGGGAATTGTTTAAATATGTTGATCCAAGATACAAAGCAGGGCATACTGGGATTTAATACTCTATTTACCTGTTCAAAATCCACATATTTGCATCACTGACCACAAAATAATTTTGAAATTGCACAATGTCAGCTGTGTAGCATCTGCAGTAGCCAGTTTGTCAGCAATTGAATATTTCCATTGGTATAATACATCCTTTTCCAAACATCCTGATACTTTGCTGACGTTAATTGGTCTTCATTTTAAATATCTCTTTGATCACTAGTGAATTTTCAGAGTTCTCTACTTCGATACACTTCATGATAATCCCTTGTGTCTGCCTATAACAAAGAAACAACTTTAATTTAAGATAAATACTTGAAATTAAGTCTTGAACATATTCCAGTTTGTACATAATTCCTATGAGCCAAAAATCAGCAACATTCCAGTCAGTTACTATATTCAACACCAAATTGGTTGAATAAATAACATGCAATCAATCACCAAAAAAATGCCCAACATTGCAATCAATTCAATGAAGTTTGAAGGTTAACATGAAACATACCTGAATATATAGGTCAATTATTCTTTATTCAATCAATAAAGCTGTTGGTTTTGGTGACAGGGAGAGCGCTCTTTTGCCATCATTGAGGCAACCAACTGGTTCTTGTGTTACCATTTGAACTTATCATATAGGTCTATTTCATACACAGATTTCTAAAATGGAAAGTATATGTTTGCTTTAGCTACTTGAAAACTGATGAGGGACTTGGAGGACTAGGCAGTAGTGAAAAACACACAGATACAATCAGAATTTGCGCATCATGCCTTTAACATTGGCTTTACATACAAAGGAAGTGGCTATTTGTACTGGAGTATGGAACCAGATTCTTACATTTTGTAAATTAGTAATAAAAATAGTTACTTGCAACAGCTTTTAGCGAGTTTGCTGCTAGCATATTTGACACAGGCATCGCGTCCGTGTGAAGCAAAACGAGGTCGGGAGTTAAGTTTTAGCTGTTGGTTTTCTGTTTGACTTAGAAATTTTTCTTAAAATATTAATTTTTTCACGACTTTCAACTCTCAAATAATTATTAGACATATATTGGCTAGGGTTATATATAAGTCAAATCTAACCACAATCAGCACCCCAGGCACTAGACTTAATATTACCTCCCTATAGGCTGGAATTTGACAGCCTGTTGTGGGCATTTGACAAAAACGTGCTCAGCAGTTGTCCCTAAAAATATGTGTACATTCTGGCACTTCAGAAGATTTCTATTTTATGTCTTTTCAATAGTCTAAAAATTCTTCTGAATCACAAATATCAATTCATTCTTCTTAATCTTGAAATATTTGTTCAATTTAATTTTAGTCAAAATTCCAGAACCAGGAGTAACCTAGCCTACGGTGTAGACCCCAGCAGAAACACGTTTCGTGAGGGGTCTACGAATAAACCAAGAAAAGCTTGCCCGGCCTACGTCATATCCGTTTTGCGTTTTGGGTAAATTAACTTCAATTTATTCAAATCTCTGAAGCGTGCGTGAATGTAAATTTTCATTTGGCGCTTATTAAAATGTTCCATGGCGGGCTTTGTGCAATAAAATATACCCTGACTATATATATATACCCAACCATTAAACACATGTTCGAACGGACTAAAAAGTTCTTGTCATTCGTACAAACTGTTAGGCTTGAAGGCTTAAAACTCGTCAAGATATCTAATTTCCGAAGTCGAAGACAAAGTCGATTTCACACTATTAAATGTAGCCGGCATAAAAGCTTTATCGCAAGTCAGCTCGAATCCTAGTTGGTTCACGACATTTATCAATAGCGTTTAATGCTGTTTCGGGCACGTTGGTTATCGTATTGTCTAGGCTCTAGCTCACATATTAAACCGTTCTTTGAAGCTTCTCCGTTTCACCGTTTGTTTACCAACGCCAGGCGGCCAGGCATGCTTTACAAATGCTATTTGTAGGTGAAATGGAGAAGGAAAGGTCGCCTAACTCCTTACGTACAGTGTCCTTGCTGTCCAAGAATTTTATTCGACGAAACTTTGAAGCAAAGAACACATTTGTATTGGACAAAGCCCGCCATGGAACATTTTAATGCCTTTAATAAGCGCCAAATGAAAATTTACATTCACGCACGCTTCAGAAATTTGAATAAATTGAAGTTAATTTACCCAAAACGTAAAACGGATATGACGTAGCCGGGCAAGCTTTTCTTCGTTTATTCGTAGATCCCTCACGAAACGTGTTTCTGCTGGGGTCTACACCGTAGGCTAGGAGTAACCCTATAGCACAGCATGTGACGGTGGTTTCTGCCTGTTTGGGTAGAAATTTGACAACTTATTTTTTCAAAATTCCCAGGGATTGTCCGGGGGGATCACGACTGGACTCATACATTAGGAAGAGTTTGGGGTCTGTTAATCTTAAATATTCCGACTGCAGTACAAATAGCAAATCAAACTTGGTGTACTATACTCTTCCAATACGAATAGCAACTTTGTTAGTAATGAAATGCACCCTGGATTGGTTTATAAGGTTTGTTTGTACATATACAAAACCTCAACCCCTGCAGTGGAAGACTATTAAAGTAAAAATACACTTTTATTCATAACGAGCTTTGTTTTATTTCATGTATAATATATATAGCAATAACAAGGAAGAAACATTAAAAAAAAACATTTACCAAGCTTATATACCTTGGCTTGCGCCACGTGTTTCAGAAACCATATGCATTTCAAATATATTTCATCGCCAAATTTCAAGCCTTAATATCACAAACTTTTCTCTCAAATACTCGTATTAAAACATGTAGACTATTCATGCAACTATAGGAAAGCTTTAAGTATATGAATACGACAGATATAAGCGAAAATATACCTTAAAATGCGTTGTTTTATAAGCATCTTGTTTGAAGTCGGTTGTGGCCTCGCCCAGTTGCGGTAAACTTCGAAGCGAAACTTCGACACTTGACTTGTCTTGAAGTACTATTTGACGTCTCTCATACTATCTTGCTTTCATCTTGCTTTCACAGCTTCTTTGCAGGTTTAAATACTGATATAAAACATTAAAAAAAACAATATAAAGAAATATTTTGTACGAAAGTTTGAAGAGAGGTTTCTTTCTTCCTCGTGGAACATGACTGCATGGCATTGTGGGACATGCAGTGTTTCCATTGTCAAGATATGATTTTCAAAGAAATTTATTTCGAAGGAATTTGCGCACGAGGGTGCGTCGACTCGCAGATTACAAGTTTAATAGCTTGGAAAGAGAGATTTCATTTGCGAAACTACGAAATAAAAACGTTGTTACATCATGATTTTATTTTCTGTGTTGGTGTAATGTACTCAGGTGAATATGATGCTTGTGATGTTACTCTGGGCGTATATCCACCGGAAAGCTTGAAAAATATGCCTGACCACGGTGGGAATCGAACCTACGACCTTTGGAATACTAGCCCAATGCTCTGCAAACTGAGCTACGCGGTCTGGTCGGTTCGAGTATGTGGATATTTCGGAACAGAATCTAGTTCCTTCGATATCAATGTTTAATATTGTCGTACAAATATATGTTATGTACAAATATCCAACCAGGCCAGTCAATTCTCGACCAGGAATTCGTTCGAAACGGAAACGTTTTTGTTGTATTTTTCGGGCAGTTGAATTCCTATAAATCCGTAACTTTCTCCTACTTTTCAAATGTCAAACGCTTACAGCATAACTAAATAATTTAATTTTATTTAAAAACAAAACATATTTCTGATCGCAGTTCAAATCAAAGTTAAAGACGGTGTGTTGTATTTGTCTTAAAATGATCATGAGATTTTACCTTGTAGAAAGCATGCCGAGACTGCATCATCATCTTGCCCACGTTGTTTAATCGACCAGAACGGTGTTGGTATAAACGAAACACATGCTGGTCTTGCTGCAAGCTCGCTCTAACGAGTGCTGGTCTGGGCGTCGACGACACAATTCGTGTGGCAGTTGGCCGACGGTGAAGAACGCAACAGATTGAGATGATTTTGATCTGGCGTTCAGTCGCGAGCTGCAAGCATTTCGGCAACCATCTCGTTGTCGTTGTCGTGGTATTCAAATTGGGCCACTATTCAAAGTCTCCACGGCTTCGCGTTACAGAAGGTTTACTTGGTTGTGAAACCAATCACTTTTTCGTTGTATTCGACTCCACCTTGCAGGCAAGGAATTTAAAGGCGAGATAAATTCTTAGTCGTAGATTACATAATCGTTCTCGCAAAGTAATGAACATCGGAACAGCTGCAATGTGGTTGTTCTTCATTCTAAAAGAGAATTAATTAAATAATTATTAACACAATAATGCAGTTGAGAATAAACAAGATAATAATTTTTCTTCAAAAAGTTATTCACTTACCAAACAAGAATTTATAGCTCTGAGAGAATTTTCACGAGAAGAGCTTCTAAAATGACTTCTTCAGACTAGCACAGCGACAAACAGTATGAACTAATGAAACACGTGGTGTACGAAAATAATTTGAATATACATGACACAACGAAATGTTGAACAAAGCAGAAAATCTTCCTAATTGCACCGGAAAATTTAGAAGACAAAGCGTATGCATAGGAAATGAGGGATATACGGATTTACATTCCCCTCAGAACAATGAAAATCGAGGTGATCATATTATTATAATAATAGCATAGTTGCGCGGGTTTCTTTTGTTTTTACCAGGTCGATTACTAACTAATCGCCCGCAGTAGCGTCAGTGGGAACTCAACTACGCTGTCACAAACAGCATGGCTTTTCGACAAATAAAGCAATTTAATCTACAGACCGTTTGCACATGACGTTGCAGTCGTCATGTTGGTGTTGCAACAGTCAAAATAATTTTAATTTGACTCTTGTCTGAAACACCAACATGGCTGACATGGCCTTTATTAAGTTGGTCCCTGCATGGGGAACAAATGCAAACACTCTATTGTTACATCGGAATCAATAACCATCAACTTACCTATATACTTGGGAAACTAAAGCCATCTCATCTTACTATACTGTTTGCGTGTTCTTTATGTTCAGGCTATTGACCTATTGTGTGCAGAGCGAACGATGCAGGTGGCCAGATTTTGTGCGCGGACACATATATAGGGTGTCCCCCAAAAAAGTGACACTATAGAAATTATCCTATTGTTATAATTTGAATGCCCTAGCACTAAGTTGATCCCACAGGTGCATAAACTTCTGCTTCTGGAATTTAAAATAAAAAGCAAACCGTTTATTAGTGTAATCGTTTTGCTTGACTCGGGCGTTAAAATATTTGGACAAAGAGAAAACGTTTTAAAATGCTTAAATGTAAATACAAGTTCATTAAATTCCCAGGCGTGTAATCACGCGCGTTTAAGGTGGCTCCCTACAGTTTTCGAAATATGACAAAAATGTGATTTAGATTTACGTTTCATGAAATAAAAAATGGGGGTAACCGGCCTTTTTTCGAGTAAAATGTGTCAAAAGGTAAAATGTCAGCCATATTGAAACGTCATTTTTGGGAACAATTTTCAACTCTTAAAAGATTGTTCAATATATGTGGCACAATTTTTGTCTTCTAACAAGAAACCGCTCTTTAAAAAATTAAATCTGAATCACGATTTGTCATATTTCAAAAACTGTATTGAGCCACCTTAAGAGCGGCTTAAGAACAATGAGATAATTTCTATAGTGTCACTTTTTTTTGGGACACCCTGTATATATATATATATATATATATATATATATATATACATATATATATATATATATATATATATATATATATAATTGCTGTCTTTTCTACTTAAAATTAATTAATTGTCGTCATATATATATATATATATAATTGTTGTCTTTTCTACTTAAAATTAATTAATTATGTCTTGTCATTATTACTTAAAATTAATTAATTAATTAATTAATTAAGTTTATATATATATATATATATATATATATAAACGGATATATAATAAGTACAGTGAAACACGCAATTTGATTGGTTAAGTTAAGTTTGAGAGTTAATAAAGTTATAATAAATTAGGTTGTGTCACTGTAGTTATTTTCAGAAAACAATTACCGAATGGTTTCTCGTGCAGGATAGCGTCATTTATTACATAGTAGAGTGTGAGATACTAAAAAATACACTGTGAGATATAATAGTTTTATTGATCCATCTTTAGTGTAAAAATACAATGGATTTACAGTTAGTAAAATCTAAGTAGTAGTGTAGGAGTTATATGTACAGATAAAAATTTTAGGAGTAGTTATAAATATATTGTCTATAATAGCGAGTTTGTTTTGGGAATGAACGATAGTTCATGCCTTTTAGTGTATGAGAAAATCTCTGGAAGAGTTTTTGGTGTTCTTAGGTCATACGTGTTCGTCACTATGTCAGGTATATATTTCCTGCATGGGTGCGTTTCGTCATTATCATATTTTCACATCTTCACAATCACGTGACTTTCACTATTTATACATTTTTTTGCTTGGGACTACATAATAGAACATGACACGGTGGCTTGAAGATATGACTTTTATCTTCTCGTGTTGGAAACAATATTACTCAGTCGCTGTGCTCGTTACGGTAAAATGTTGTTTTCACCACTCGAAGACAAAAGTCATCTTCGCGCCATGTAATATCTTACATGTAAATACGCGCGGGATATTGCTCGACTTTGGAAAGCGTAAAGAAATACTCCCTTGCGGCTCGTGTTTTTTACACGAAAGTCTCGCAACATCCCGCGTGTATAGATGATGCTATCCTGCACGAAAACCATTTGGTATTCCTTCAATGCCATGTGCATGTTGTGCAGATAAAGTATCTGGAACAGTCAAATAAAACATATATACAATTAACAAAAAGTGCAAATTAGATGTTAAGATGTTATATGTAAACAACGAGTTTGAGTGTTTCATCAGGGGATCCAAACACGAGAAAACTGTATGAAACACGAGCGCGAAGCGCGAGTGTTTTATTGTTTTCGAGTGTTTGGTCCCCTGATGAAACACGAGAAACGAGTTGTTTACACAACATCTCGAACGAAAACATTTCATTGGCTGTTCAATTTATTAAGCGCTAACGGGGGACCTATTATTATATTATATATATTATTTAATAGATAATTACTGAGGCCAACGAATAATGCCGTAAGTCAAAAGTAATTATTTTCGGCTGGAAGACTACGTTGCTGCTTGTTGGGACCGTATGACAATGAATCTATTCAACGTTACACTAGACATTTTTGAGGACATGCATGTAATGCATCGTGATAGAACAGATTTCAGTTTAATTAATCGCCCTAAATTAAAATCTCCACAAGCGGAGGTCAATTATAGTGTTCTAGTTTACATATTATCATTAATGATAAGGTTAATTCAAAGAGCGTATTAAACTGGATAAACACGGGAATAGAACTTATGGTGTGTTCTGCACATGCGTATATCTAGGATAAAATCCCACAAGCGCAAACGAAACTATTTCTCTATAAAGTTGAGCAGAAAGCTAGGACTCACAGTGACCGTTTTGGCAGTACTTCAGGTGCCCGATGATATTGTACGAGGGGCCTTTAGCACTGTCAACTTCTCATCTTGAGATGTTCACGTTATCGCGTGTACTTGTCAGGATGACGAAGGATTGCGAATAATGTCTGTGTGCACTGATATACGCTGCTTTATTTTTAATAATGCTGTGTGCACGCTGCATTATTTTTAATAATGCTGGGTGCTATTTTGGCTTCTGACATTCGCAACAGGTGGGAAATTTGTCTGAGCATGCGCGAGTAAAATGAGCCACGCAATTGCGTGGAATACACGCAACGCGTGTTTACAAAAAGGCACAATCGTGTAAATATTGCCAAATGTTTGTACAAAATAAATGACTGTTTTATGTTGAAAGAGTGGACATGATCTAAATTAATCATACAGAACTTTTTAGTGACGTTCTATTTCAGTACCCTGCCATTGTCTCTGGTGGGCTGTCCGTGTGCATTCGATTTGAAACAGTTGCTACTTTGCTGTCGAAGAATTTCGAATGTTTACATGAAAATAGAGGCAAGTCATGCATTTTACAACCTCTCAAACTGTATGAGCCCCTATTTTTACGCTTATACCTAAGATGTCAAATAAAAGTACATGAAACAGAGAACATTTGTAGAAAGTTTTATTGTGAGGCCACGGCCAGTTTTTAAGATATCTTTATTTCTGTTCCGGTCATCACCAAAATTACACAAAAGTCGGGCTTGAATATACAACAAATTTTGAATCTCATCAAGCACAAAAATACTTAACGTGTAACCAAAATATGCTCATGAAATCGAAATTAATAGCTAAATTTTCAAACTAGACCCTTCTCAAAGCGGTTCTCATGAAGGAAGTTCACATTTCGGCCTTTGATTCTTGGCAAAAATTTGACCACAACACGTGCGAAGCAACTGGGTCTCAAAGACTGAACTAAAACATTGTGAGCCCCTATTTTCCTGACGATATGTTTGAT